GATATAGTAGTTATCTCAAGCAAAGAATGATACAGGTAGTTGTCTCAAGCAAAGAATGATACAGGTAGTTGTCTCAAGCAAAGAATGATATAGGTAGTTGTCTCAAGCAAAAGAATGATACAGGTAGTTGTCTCAAGCAAAAGAATGATACAGGTAGTTGTCTCAAGCAAAAGAATGATATAGGTAGTTGTCTCAAGCAAGTTTTCGCAGTTTATTGCAAATCTTTAATTTCTTAACTTTTATTAAATTTGCAATCAGAATGTTGTTGGTAAATTGTTTTCTAAATGAAAAAAAAGACTATACGACGCATGACAAAATCATTAGGTTAGCGGTAATGTCTAAATTACCGTCAATACAATAGTTTGGGTTGGCGGTGATTTAGAAATTACCGCTATTTCTAATTATATCATTCTTTTATTTAGCAACTGATTGCCGGAATATTACAACAATTATTATTTTAACTATTTGCATTGATTTTTTAACAAGCGGAAATTAATGAAATATCTTTTTTAGATTTAAATAAAATAAGTTTCAATAACTTTCAGTTGTGGAATTTTAATCCAATTTTACTGAATTCTGATCGAATATTAGATTAGATTTTATTAGATTTTATACTAGATTTTATTTATTTACAGATTTTATCCGACAGATAAATATATGGTGATATGATAAGTGATATTAAAAGCCTCTTATATGAAATTTGTTAAATTATGTTCGGTGATACGATGACAATAAGATGATGGAATCATTTGCAATTAAATGTTGATGATTCTAGTAAATGATATTATGATATTATTCATAAAATGTGTAGGCTATTTAAAGTATCGACAGCTAAACTAATTTAATCTAATATTGTGATTTCGATCCGAAATAATTCGTTAACCGCACGCACTATCAGTGGAAAATGCGCAACAGTCTTGCGAGCGGCGCAATGAATAATACTGATAATTATGGCAATATTTACAGCATTATATCATACGTTTATATAGTAATTTCATCACATATTACAATAATTCAATGGAAAAATAATATGCAAAATTCTCTTTTTCGTCAAAATATTTGAAATAATTAAACAAATTCTCATTATTTTTTCAACTATTTTAATTCAATAAGAAGTCATTCAATTAATTCACATTTTTTTTTCAGATTATTACTCTCTGCGAATGAAAACCCAAAAAAGAAAATGCTCATTTTCCGAAGAATTAATAAGTTCAGGAAAAGCGATGATCAAAAATCGGATCATGGAATATCCTAAAATTACGAATGAATAACAGATATTTCAGACAAAGGCTAAGAAAAAAGGCGACGATTAAGTTTTCAAACAAAAAATTATTTGATAAGTGAATAATCGAAACCAAACAGGTTCATGAGATTAGCATGAAAATCCGGTTATGACAGAAAACCTGAAGATAACCATAGTTGGGTATTCATACTTAAAACGTATACATTATCTTTTAATTAAATTAATAATAGCTATAACAAGTTTTATAGGAGCTTAAGTCACAACATAAAGCTTTGTAAATTGTTCATTACAAAATTCTATTGCTTTAAAATTCTTAATATCACTTATAAAAATTAGTCGTTTCACAACACTAACATAAATTGATTTAGACAAAATGCCTTTTTTCCCTTAATAGTTAATGCATTGCTCGACCTTTTGTAATATCACTCTTAAGGTCAACGGTCAGTGGTTTTTTTCGTCAAGCTTGAATTAAGTATATTGTAGCTACAAAATAGTATCATAAAACATAATTTGAGATTTTTAAATTTTGTGCCGTTTGCTTTTCAATTCATTTTCCTCCTTATCATCAGTTAAAATTTTCCAATTTCATAAAATTTCCAACATTTCAGAGTTGTCAATGCTGGTGAAGACAACATTTATGATGCTAATCACTGCTTTATCAGTGATAAACTCAAACAATGAGTTGGGTCAGCAAGGTCTTGAAATGATGTCATGGGAGAGGAGTGATGGAGGACGATTGCGAAACTTTTTGCAAGTTTTTTTACCTTCTTTTTTTCACTCAACTATAATTGCAACTGCTTGCAGCTATTGTTTGCTTTCAAACTATGATTGCATGCATAGATTTGCTAATATTGGTTAGACACGACCACCTCATAAGTTCATTTCATTTATCTAAATCAATTTCAGCCTTAAAAAAAATTGTAAAAGTGGTCCTTTTTCTTGATGGATAATCGATGATTGTTTTAATAAGTCTAAAGAAAATTCAGTTTTCAAAAACTATTTGCTATTCTGAAGTTTACAGAAATCAGCAGGATCAATATCAAAGAATTCACCATTACCGTCATCATCGAAACAATCACTATTATCCTCATCACAACCATAATCACAATCACAATCACGATCATAATCACTATCACTATTATCATAATGAGCGGAGAATACCATGGTTGAGCTTATTTGGCTTGAATTTCTAAATCTGAATCCAAAATTTGAACAGATATAAATAAACTTGAAATTAATTAGGTTGTGGTATATAGTTTGCTTCTTGAAATGTATTCCATTCCATATTATTGTTCAAATTTAGCAAAAAATTTGCATTTTTAGTAAGATATTAAAATTTTCAATTTTCCATGAAAAATGTCAAACAATTTGTCAACAATTTTCAAACATTTACAAAATTTTTGATCAGGTAAGGTAAACTATAAAGAAATGAATATCATATGATGTTATGCAATGATATTCATGAAATTAAAACGGAATTCAGTTTGACTTGGATACATTAACACTCATTCTTTTGACATAAGTCTACCAGAAAACAAAAAGCGGAACATTGGAATAATTAAATTTGGGAATGGAAATGAATTGCAGAAATAATTAGTATTTGAAATTATTGACAATAGGGTAATTATTAATTATCCTGTCTGATTACTCAAATTATTTTTATTTTCTGCCGTCCTTTTATACTTTCATATTTTTAGTTTCCTTGTATTTGCCAACTTTCCACTTAATTTATAATCCAAATTAAAATGAAAAAAAAGTTTTTTCTGCTAATCACCTTTCCTATGAAATGATTTGTTAGTTAATTAGTTTAGTTTCTGCGAGTGAGGATATTTTGTAAAGACATCAAAATAATAAACTCATTGTTTATTCATTCATTTGTTAACTTTACAAAGTTTGCAACAGTCTCAATTACATTCTAAAGTAAAGAAAGTAAATTTGTTAAAATTACTCAAATTTGATTAATTTGTAAACCAAAGATCATTTGTTAATCGGTCGGAAAAAAACAATTACGAAAAATCACTTTCACTATTAAATGGTTGTTATTGTCGCATGGCGATGATATATTCTCTATGTCTCCTCTTGCGATGAATCATCATCTCAAAATTTCTTTCTGATTTGCTAAAACATACATCATTTCAGGTTCAGAAAAAAAGATAGCATTGACATTTGTTAGCAGCAAATGTCATACATTATTTGTCAACTATTAAAATATGCAAACATTTTTATTTAAAATGTTAAAATTAGAATATTTCCATTGAAACATTAACATTTCAAATATATTTTTAATCCTTCCATTCAAAAATAAATTTTGACAATTACTTATGCAGATGTTTATACTGACCCAACCTACCTTTACTTTATTTTACTTTAAACTTGAATTTTAAATTAGGTTTTTGTGTATATCACCAATTAAATTCATCACATCTTTTACATTAATTATTAATTGCTTAATGGATCTCTCACGGCTCAGTTTGTGCGCAGTAATTAGCTGGAATAATCAACTTAAGAAAACCGCACTAATTAAACAAAAAGTTGCTTCATTTAAGGGACTCGATTACATCTCTAACTTCTCCCAATATATAAAACTTACCGCGATCAAATTCTCCCATTACACTAAATCTACCGCGATTCAAATGTTGGTGTAAAAAAAAAATCTGAATTTATAAATTTGAAAAAAAATTTTTCAACTTAGAATTTGAAAGAGATATACCGATTTGTTGATAAGATCTTTACCGCCAATCGAAGTATGGTACCATTTGTACAAAATTCACTTCCACTTATGACATCAACATTGACCTGAAAAAGCACTGAAATATATTTATTCCTCATTTAATTTACTAAAGAATATTCAAAGTTATATACAATTTATGTAAACATTGGGCTGATCAATATCTTCTTGTCCCGTAAACTCAAATAAGATAATGATAGGTGTTAGATAAATCTTTAGTGCATTTTTTATTCAATTAATATCAGATGAATGTTCATACGAATATCTTCTCAAAATTTGATCGTCATACAAATAAATATTACAGTCCACTTAAAAGTAAACATTTTTATTAACTGCTACCATTTTAACTTTTTAAAATCGTTGGCAATGACAGTATCACTAATTATTACTGCTGAATTTTTACTGTAAAGTTATGATAAGGAAGATTTTATCAAGATTAATGTTTCATTCATTTAACTTGAATTACTCGATTATTCCCATTCATGATTGATTGATTAATTCGGGATGGTTTATTTTAAAATAATATCTGGAATGAGTCAGCAGTAATTATTTTATTAAATTTCAAAAATAACACACGTTATTAGAAAATGGTGCTTGTCATTCAATCTTAAGAGATATTTCAAAAATTTTTAAGATTTAACAACAATGAAAAAATTGAAACATTTTGTCAACGAAGTGACAACATTTTTTTTTTTCAGTGTTCCAAGTATTGTAAGAAACATTCCAAATTCTAATACTATTCATCATCTCAATATTATCATATCCCTTTTCTAACCGTTTTAACCGGTTTACTTCATTTTGTTGGCAAAGTTGTTTACTAGCCTACCTTCATGATTTGCTTGATCATTTCGGATTTATTGTTTTGCCTCACTGTTATTGAAACATTGTGAATACCATAACTTTGAGATATTGTTTCATTTGTTGCTCCAAGCGGCAAAAAATATAAGGTAGTAGTACTAGGTCCAGGTAATGAGAACCCATAATAATCGCCTCCCATTCCAACCGGATGTACTGAAAGGCAGTATTGTTATCCAGAAATACATCCCATCGATCATATCCTCATCAGTATCATCTAATGGGATAAATTCAATC